GCAGGGCAAAACACTCGCAACTCTTGAATGTTACTGGGCTTCACCAAAGATGGCTTAGGAAGCTCAGCATCCTCTGACACATCTGCGCTGTCACCGGTAGCCAAACGAATGCTTTGCCTTGTCGAACTTGGTCCCCAATGGACAAGGCCCATGGGCTATCTTTCAACAAGTAGCGTTCATTTGAGCCACTACTTTGCAAGACTCTGATCCGTCGCGTTGTCCACCACCCGTGGAGAAAGTAACAGGCCTATTGGATTGTCCAACCATGTTAGGATTGACATGGCTAGTACCGCCAATGTTGCGGCCCGCGCCCGTATCACCGAACCATGTCACTTCACCAGTGTTCGCATTGAAGCTTGTGAAAGGCACTTCACTGAATTGCATTGGCAAAGCAGGGGTCTGATTATCAGAACATAGGATGCCAGGACAGCACAACGCGAAGGAAGACACGACTGCTTTAACCACCCCGGGGATCAAATCTTTGGCTGATGGCAGGTTGCCTGCAGCAACGTCAAACGCAGCAGCGACACTTGACCCGGCCTTTGGCTTGGCCTTAGGCTTAGCCTTTGCAGAAGAGTCGTGGACACAGGGACACGGATCCCTTCTGCATTGGGTAAAAGAGACATGGTGTTCGCTTTTCTCCCGCAACTACCTCCTTCCTATCCTTACCCGACCCCTTACCACCAGCTTGGCTAGACGATGAAGGCTGGGACTTCGGATTGGCCTGACCCTTGGGCTGGGCCTTTGAGGATGAAGCCATTGCAATATCAACATATCCCTTTTTGTTCGTGGACGACTCCGACTTCTCTTTCTTGTCTTTCTTTTTCTCCTTCTTTTCGGCTGACGCTGATGCTGCATCAACTTTCGACTTGAGTGCACTTAGGATAGACGCAGTGTTATGATCGTGCTGCGACTCATCAATGCAATCCATCATGGATTGCCATAACCATTGGAAGGTTCTGATGGCATCCCCAACGGCTGCTTGATTGAATCTGTCAATCTTCAACGCTAGCTTGGGGACATTCTTAAGGCATTCGTACAACCAGGTACGAAGGATGGGCTCAGCAGGATACTCTGAAGTTTCCAAACTGGAGAGAACAAATTCCACCCGGTCACGGAATACCTCTAGATCCTGTATCTCCACACCCTGAAGGTTTAATGCCAAAAGATCTTGTTGGCTCAAACTCATCCCCCGTTCTTTGTCGAGACGGAACTTGCGACAAATTCGGCCTAACAACAATAGACCCTGGACTTGCAACCCTTTGCGAACACTGCGCTCCTGAAGCGCTTGGAAATCCACACCGAAGCGACTTCCCTTGGCAGCGTCCAGGAGTTTGGAACCTAGCACTCGGCTTAGCACAGGGAAGTCGTCGGACTCGACTTCATCACCTTCTAAGGCACGACCTAGCCATGTCAGAAGTTCCTTTTCACTACTCCTACAACACGACACTAGCTGCGAAATTAGCGAATTCTTCCAAGTTCGCAGCTCTGCGGCCGACCATGGGAGAGAAGGAATCTTGATCTTCTCATATGACTTTAATCTCATCAGTTTCCTTTCTGCTGCATAACCGGGGTCAGGTTCTTCAAAGGATGAACCCCCGATGAATCAGAAGAAGAAATGGTTTTCTTCCCTTTTCCCCTTTTTCGCTTACTCATCTCGTCTGTAAGATTTTGGACTTCCTCTTGGAGAATTGCCAACACTTGATCAACGGATTCATTGGTTTGGGATTGTTGTTGAACAGGTTCGTCTGGACCAAACAAGTCAAAACTCCCTGGATTTGAATCATTATCTGTTCCAACCTGGCCACCGGTTGCAGGCAGGGCGGACTGAACCGCTGCTCTCTGCTGCTTGCAATCGCACCAGCAAATCCTGATTCAGACGCGTGAGATGGGCGATCTGACTCTGCAGCTCAAGGACCACCTGGGAATCGCTGGATTGGGTTTGGCTACGAACATCATCCAAAGATTGCGCATGAACCCTTTCGGCTTGTTCAACTGTTTCCCTCAGAGTTTGTTGGTGACGAGATTCGGCTTCAGCCAAAGTCTCACTTCTAACATGTTCCGCAATTCGGGCACCAACGTTCTGGGTATGTTCCATGGACGCTCTTGCCATGTCTTGGACAGCAATAGCTTCGTCTCTAGCATTCTGACGGGAAACTCTCCTCTCTTCATTAACTACTTGATTATGTCTCAACTCTGCTTCCGCGATTGTGGCACTACGAACTGTGTCGGCGAATTGAGTGGCCGTCTGATGGGCAACTTCTGGGGGAATTCCAACCCGAATGGCTTGAATGGCTTGGATGGACCGGGCATCAACAAAGGTGGGACCTTGTGGAAACTCCGGACCCTGACCTGGATTGGCGGAATCTTGGAATCTACCTCTCCTAGCCATTGTGTTCTCTTCATCCTCCAATTCAAACCTACCAGCTTCCAAACCCGATAAATCACTGGCAACTTCCGAAGATTGAGAAGGACCCAATGCCTAGATCTACGGTTTGCGAGAGCTCATCATGGATTGGCCAACTGCCGCAACTGCCAAATGCAATTCACTAGACTAGAACCACTAGACTCTTGGTTTGTTGACATTGTGTGTTGGTCTCTCAACTCAATGCACCCTTACACTCAATCTAATCACCTGATCTATGGTGGACCACCGGATTTGAGAACTCCCTTTGGCTGCAACTCACGCACAGGCTGAACTCCCGCTTGATCACACAATTGCCTGATGACCTCGTCTTTGTGGGACGCAATGCCAAATCCCCGGCGAACCCGAATTGCAAAAACACCAGCACTGTAGTACTGATTAACAACCTCTTCCTGGTCGTCGATCGCTCCAACCGCTTCAAGTCCTCTTGCCAGATCCGCTGTCGACGATCGAAGATGACAAACAACGCTGGGATCACTGCAGACAGCTCACTTTTTGTCAACGCTTGGATGTACTCCTCAGACGCCGCACGTCCAATGTAGGAACGCGCACAGAAGGAGAAACTGTTGCGCTGAAGCTGAAAAATGAATGAAAGCACTTCCGGTCGATTGTTTGAAGCTCTCCACGGTGCTCGGCAAGCTTGATCGAATCACCGGATGAAAGGCGTTCAGGGAAGATCACCGTCTTGTACAGATCAAGAATCACGCAGCCCTTCAAGGATTCAAACAAGTCTTCCACTGAATCAAGCAAAAGTGAACCGTCCTCTTGGCTCTGAAACGCGACCTTATTCACAATCACACGTCCAGGAATCCAAGGACGAAGATCAAATACTGCCTGATCCACGCCGAGAGAAATTTCCCTCAAACGCTTCGCTGACCCGTAGTCAATCGCCTGACCACCAGGCCCCAACTCCTCCACCTCCTCTTCTGAAGAGATCTCGTCAAAAGCTGCTGCTGGGAACAGAGCCTTTGAGGTAAGATCAACAACTGGAGAAGATGCTTCTGCGCCGCTGGAGAAAGAAGATCTATTGACTTTCGACGCTTGACTGGGAGCAACTTTGGCTTTGGGAGCCTCGTTCGGCTTAGCACTTGGAACAGCAATGGGTGCTTTTGCAACACTTGATGTGGACGCACTATCACTCAGGATTCCACTCAGGCGATTCTCAAACGCAGGTGCGAATGCTTCTCGGAGCTTCTTTCGCTTTGCGCTTTTTCCTCCTCGTGGTCTGTAACGTCGCCCCGTATGCATACACAAATCGACTCCGAGATCAACTTCGATAGTAGCAAGAAAAGCTCAAAGGACCGTCAAGAATCGAATATGGCACGCACACAGACGAGTGATTAGATGAATGAATATGTAGGGGAAAGCCAGTACGGCTGATAACTGAATGAAAGGCTGATTATGTGGTAAAACCCAAGAAACGACACAAAGCAGCTTCAGGGGCCTCTTTACCTTGAGCCAAAATTAGTAGCACTCGAGGAGGTCAAACCCTACCCTTTGGTTGGATTCGTTCTGTATTAATCAATAACTAAATTAGAGTTCAATAGAATTAAATGCTAATTAAACGATATATTTTTATGAATTCAGTTCAATTTTGCTTTAAACAAATAAGCTAACATTGTGTAACACTTAAAATAGAATTGAATTAGATCAAAATTTGAAGTCCATTGGACATAAATGACAATGTTATATGCTAATTCAATGAACCTTTGATTATGCTTCAATTCAAGTCTAAATCAACGTCCAATAAAACTATACAGGTTGTGCTTAAAAGCCCAAAGAACCAAAGCACAAACAAAACCCAAAAAAACACTTTGAGGAGAATGTTTGGGTCAGCCTCAAAAGATTTTTTTTGTTCTGTTTTTGCTTTTTTGAAGGTTTATTGTAGTAGAATAGTTTTTTTTTTCCTAATGTTCCGTTTTATTCATAGCAAATCATCAAAAACCAAAAAAACTTGTTTTTGGTTTTTGATAGGCTTCTTCAACCATAAACCAAAAAGAACACACACAAGCTTTTTTGGTTTTGGATTTCAACATCCAAAAAAAAACACATATGGAAACCACAAAAAAATTTGAGGCTGAACCAAACATTATCCTCACGTGTTTTTCTTTTCTGGTTGTTTTGGTTTAGTATTTTGTTGCAGGTTGTCATTGGGGATATCTTTTTATTTGTCTTATTTCACAGTTTTTTTTATTGTAAAGTGCTTTGTTTTTTTATTAGATTTTTTATACCCCCAAATATGCATAAACGTGTGGGTTGTTTTTTTTGGGTACCATATATATATATTCTATTATATTATATATATGGAGTGTTTGGGACAAGGAAAAAGATATCAGCCATCTCAACAAACAGATATGCCCATCTGTGTCGCGCATCCTTTCAGCGCCTTCACCCCGAGGGAAAGAAAGGCTTTTCTTCCTACGAACGTGCGTTCAGTGGAGGATGAGCCGCCCCATGCATTTCAAAGTCCCTTTCCTGGAGTGTGTACTCCGTACTATCTTGTTTAGATGATAACATGTACGGTACCTAACGCCTAAGGCTTCGGAACAACGGGGTCTGACAGACGGGGTGGCGCCTCCGGAAGTCTTGCTCTTCAAGACGATCACACCGATGGTTCCGATCCTGTAGCACCGGGCTTCGACGAAAAGAGCATCTGACAGAGGGTCTGACAGAGCATGAGTGGTCTACACTTATTCGCGTGAGAAGGTCTGAGCGTTTTGGAGCTCTGAGCAACTCAAAGTGGGGTGGCACATCTCACGCGCCCCAAACCTTTTGCCACTGCCACTGCCACCCCCGTTGGTCCTCGGAAAATCCCGCTTCCTTCCGCCGCCCAACACGCTTCACGCCGAGCTTCAAGGCAGTGCCCAAGAGGCCGAGGCCCAAGGAGGCGGAGCGCGTCCAACGACGCGGAGCGAGATGCATGGAGGCAGGCTCCGGGAGCATCCTGAGAGGTGGCAGGGCGACCGAAGGAGTTGGAGGCGGCGAGGCCACGAGGACTGAAGAGTGGAGGGGACGTGGAGGCCGAGAGTGTCAACTCTCCAAAATTCGGATGGATGGAGATTCCCATGCGGGTGAAGCGAGACGGGGTCTTGCACCGAGAGGACTGGGCTTGAAAACCATTGTTCCCCTAAAAGTTTGGTGGCAAGTACTTGCAATTGTGTTTTTCCATCCAAAGCAGTCATCCTAAGTTCGGGAAGGTGGGCTCATGGTCCACACCGCACACCACTTTTTTGGGCAACAAACTAACCAAAAGAAACGAACGAACATCTCTACTGTAGGTGTTGACCGGCCGACGGCGTGGAGGAGGGCTGCCCGTGTTTGGGGAGCGAACAAACACGCGTTTTGAGCTGCCACTCGATGTCACCAGCTTTCTTCAAGGAACATCAAGGAACAGGGACGATATACCTTTCACCCAAGCAAAGAAGTGGAACAACGGGTGTTTGACAAAGGAATTCTTGGTCTTCCAACGGGCGACATCCAGTTGAATGAAACACTGAAACATTTGATTGAAAAATGGCTGGCAAAACTCGGAACCCCCTTAAAATGCAGCGCACTGTTATTAATTTGTTTGGGAACCCAATGAATATATCCTCAAGCTCTGGAGTAGTGCATAATTTCCTCCTTGAACATCAGGAATTGGGATGTACTATTGCCTGGTTGGTGGTTTCAACTCGCTTGAAACATATCAGTCAGTGGGGTCAATCATCCCTAGTAAAGGTTGAAAAGAACAAAATCTGAAACCATCACCCAGTTACCAATTATATAGTTTGGCCTTGAGGGTCCAGATGGTGGAAAGTGAATGAGTTTCTACCAGGGAATGGCTAGATATGATATGACTCAGTCGGTCAAAAGTTTTGCTTTCGATCTCCAAGCCTCTCGTATTTGGTAGGAGCCATGATCACAAAAAGAAAGCACGTCACGCCAAGCTCGAGCAAAAGAGTGGCTGTGGTGGCGATGCACAGTGCAATAGATAAAACATGTGCTGCAATTGCATGACATGCAAGTCAACAAGTTGCAACAAGTCCTTTCAAAGTGACGCAGTGTCACAGTGCAGTTGGTCTAGCCTGAAGACTGACCCAAAACAGTTTCCCGAAGGGAAAATCAACTCTTCAAATCTCTTCAAACTCTTCCGACACGCAGTCCACGTTTGTTCAGGAAAGAGCATCCTGCACATGGAAGTGGAGTGAGTTCACCCCCCGTTCGGTTCAGGAACATCGAAACCTGCAAGGGACCTATGCCATGACAATCCTGTTCGTGAGAGTGTAGGAGGATTCTGACATATAAAACCATACAAACTCAGGCCCCTGGATTGGGGGTTTCGACGACAGGCCCCTGTAGAAAACAGAGCTTGGAGGCCTGGGGGGTTTTCACTCACTTCACTTCCATGGCTCATGTGCTGGTCCGCTCTCTCGTAGCTCGGGGCACGAGGACGTGAGAGTCCGGAAGCGCTCCTGCCCCGCGGTGTCCTGAGACCGACTCGGACCGCTGTCGTTGACGACAGCGAACAGGATCGACCAGTGTGGTGTGGTGGAGAAAGGGCCATGTGACTTGGGGCTTCTGTTTTGGAGCGAAAGATGGTAGATCATGGGTCCAAGACAGCTGAAGAGCTGCTTCGCTTACTCGTATACTTGCACCTTCAGATCATCTGGGATCTGTTTAGCCTGTGAATGGCCCAGGCCGCTCCTTTCCCAGGTCGACTTCCAACTGCTGCGGGGTGGTTCCTTCCCGGGTTCCTTCCTTCAGTGGGCAATGAGTAAAGACGTCCGAGCTGGGCTCGGCTCCTTCCAACATCTTCCGTCCGGGGTGGGAAACCCACCTGGAGGCCGGCATGTGAACAGCAAATAACCAATCCAATCCGGCATGTGTGGGGGATTGACTCTGAGCCAACGCCCAGGACCCCGGGAAGATCAACTAAATCCTTTGACCACGGCCAGTCAACCAGGCCTACCCAGGTCCCAGAGCCTTGATTTGGGCCCGTTGACCAGTCATTACCAGTCCAGTAATCCGAAGGTTGGCACTAAGGTCGATTGCGTGCCACGAAGAATGCTCCTGAGGGAAGGTTGCTTTCAGAACTCGCAAAAGCAAGTCCTCTGTCCTTCTCGTCTCCATGCCCAAGAATCACGAGCCAGTATCCACTGTTCTTTGTAAAACAAAACCACTGGCGCTGTCCCGAGGAGCTGGGACCGTACGAGAAAAGAAACCAGCCGAGACACCCAGAGGGCCAATTTGAGCTTCTTGCCTCTCACTTGCATGAATTTAGTCTTGAAGTCCACGCCTTAGTTGTCTTGGGGAGTGCTTGGAATTCCAACGTCACACAGACCAGCATGATGAACTGTGGCTATGGCCATAGTGGCATGTGCCTAAGCTATATGGTTGATATTCCTGAAGCTTCAATTTGCCAGCTGGATGGAGTTCTGCCACTCTTGGTAAGGCACATAGAGTGGAACTAGATGGGGTGCATGTCAATTCGCTGGCATCCTTTGCATCTGGCACTTTGCTCTCATCCATTGGCAAATCAATCATGGATGCCTCGGCGGTCCGAAAAAGATATCTTCTTTCAATGTCACCGCGGTGGGTCAATGTCTGCTTCTCCTGTCTTGATCCATCTGTTTCTACAGGTGTTCAAGATTATCTATATGAGTTGCAGGTGTCGGGCTGAACCTTCTAAAGAAACCGCCATGCCGTCCGAATCTTTCAGCCGTCGACCGAGTCTTGCTTCACTGAAGTGAAGGATGACGGACCGAGTCTCTACATCCAGGTCCGCCCATCCTCGTCTATGTCTATCCTCCATGATGCGTGCCATCCTCCCCGACCGAGCCCCGACCGACCCCGACCGAGCCCCGACCGCACCACGGACCGCGGATCCGTCGGTCACCAAGCTGGGCGGAGGGGCCAATGGTCGAGGCCTGCTTCTCGTTGAATTCATCGTCACCTCGGGACGGACGCCCGCGGCCCCGGCGGGCGAATTTGCCATCAGCTACGGTGGGCCGGGTGAATTTTCATGCATTGTCCGCGTCGAAGCCGTGATGAACGAACGCCAAAGGGAGTAGAGTGAACGAAACGCTTGGGATGTGTCTTTTTTTTGGGGGTAAAAGGAGACACGATTTAATGGGACTGGCATATTTACTGTACATACCTTTGGATACATTTGGGGAGTGTTTGTTAGGGGTCAATGTCACAGTATATTCAGTAGATGTATCTAGATATGCCAGGCTGCCAGTCTCATTAGTCGTGTCCGATGAGGTGGACGGGTCGAGCTTTTGGTCGCTGATCTCCGGTGTCCGTCGTCTCATCTCCTGACCTGCTGCCCGTGAAACGGGATTCCCTGTGCAAATGAATGGGATCTGATGTTGAACTGGGTGTCTTACCGGGCACAAGTGCCACCTGCACTTGTAGAGTGAGGCCATCCAACAGCAAAAGGATGTTGGTCCCTTGTTGCAGTGGAGGCTGCTTGGGGATACGTCCAGCCTTTATTTTTGGTGATTTTAGCGGTCCACACCCGGTCCGCTCATCCTCAACGGCAGGGCTGGGGTACTGGCCCACCCTCCGCCTGGTGCACCTGCACCCTGCATCCGCCGAACCTGGATCTGAGGCATGAGGGATATAGCCACTATAGACCTGCACGTGGCCCTCCAGCCTTCAAACCGACCCGGAGACGACCCTTGTGACGCGGAGCGGCTCACGCTAGCCGCTCACGTCGACTCGAAGGACCCTCCAGCCGAAAGTCGAAACAATGGCCACAGGAAAGTCTTGTTTAAGTCATTCATGTTTAAGACGTTTTTACCACTTCTCTTGCCTTGGTCTTTTATCACTTGCGAGGGAATACGTCAGTGATCTGAGAACTCCGAAGGACGCGCACGGCAAATGATCTCAAATGCGGCGCTGGTTCTTTGTTCAACCCACTTGGTGAATCACCGCGTACTTCTGTGTACTACACACATCTTCTGCCGGCTACTGCTTCAGTCTCACTCAAAATTTGGGTCTTGTGAGAAGTGCCCTGCGAAGCTTCCCCCTAGTTTTTCCAACTCTTCAGATGGGGCGTGCTTCCACATGCTTCCACCACCAGCACAGCTGTGCCCTGAACCTGTTTGGCCAAGCTTCAAAAACGCAGAAGTATTGAAGACTTGCCAACACCAGAGTCGCCGATGATCAACCTGCAGAGTCGCGGCGGAGCGGCTTTTCTTACATTTGTTGTCCTCTGGGTGCCTTCTTTCCTGGTTCCATGAGCAAGTCGATGACGGTTCGAATGGCCATGCGGCAATTTTTCTGGAGAAGTTACATCAGGGACCTTCAGCAACATGGAAGTGGACCTTAAGCAACATGGAAGTGCACAACCATCTGGTTGTAACATTCCGGGTTGTGCCATGCACAGCAACTTTTTTGTTCAGAATAAAGGGTAGCTATTTCTTGGATGGGGTGGAAGGTGATGAATCCACGTCCGACCCAAATCTGCCAAGTTAGCACCCGAGATTAACCCAAACCCCCTGATCTGTGATAGTTTGTAAAAAATGTGTGCAAGCGCTTCAGACCAATTAGATGTATACCAAATATCCAGGTATATCTGATTCTTAACCAAGCAGCTGCTTTGGAAACAAAAAAACATTCTCTTTCCTTCCAGTACTTCAAATTCCTTCAAATCTGCTATCTGCTAGTTGGCCTTGGTGCGACTGGTCAATCTTTTTGGACACATCACACGACACATCGTCCGAGCGGCAATTTGAAGAGATGATCATGTGTCGCGTCGGCCATCCGTTTTCCTCGGGCGCCCCAATTTGCGGCTAGCGCGCGGCTTGGACCAACGCCGCGGCTGCAACGAAAACGTGGGCTTCAACGGGTTGGCTTCACAAGGAGCAAGAACTAAAAGCGCAAGCGGGCAGGTGAGCCATGCAGATTGTTCGGTCATTACAACTCTGTTTTGCAAACCCTCTGCAGTTCTACCATGTTCACATCAGGTTGAATGGATTTCGACCCAAGAAGTGCAGGAGGACCTGAAACTCCTAGTTGGATGCTGGGAAGGAAGGCAAGTCTCCACTTGCAAGTCCCTATTTTCTCCAAATTGAGATTGGGCCTGGAACTTCTGTGGAAAAAGAGAACACCTTGCAACGCGGGTTTCATCACAGTCCACCCTGAACCTCGTGCAGTGACACTGTCCGTGATGTACATTTAATTAGAAAGCAAACAATTAACAAGTCTGCAAACAAGTATACAATGCCAAAAGTGGTCTGCCCAAGACCCATTTGCCGAAAAACAAAAAAAGAACAACAGACACACACACACACTTCGAACTTGGTTTTCAGTTAGACTCAATTGCCACGATGGGAAGGAAGGTGAGGGAACGGAATGGTGCATGAGTCAGCCAAACAGTATTGTTAAAATTGTTTCCGAAAACGCTCAAGTGATCGCGACTCAGCTGCGGTGCACAAGGTGGAGAGAAAGGTTTAAGGGAAGTATCATGCAAGGACCATGGAAACAAACCAAAGGAGTAGACAGCGTGTGCAAAAGTTCCAAACTGGCAGGTACACAATGCGGCGTCCCGCATTGCTTCACGACCGATCCATCACTGTCTTCGTTGGGCAGTGAGTGATGGTGGTCCACTGCCCCCCTGCTTCTGTGGAAAAAGGAAAGTGCCGCTGTTACAGTGGAAAGGTGAGCACGTGGAAGACCCTTAGAACCAGGGTGTGACACACACACACACACACACACACACGTGGCAAACATGATCACAGGTGATCACTCTTCTGCCTCCCAGCCGACGCTCCGATGGGATCTCCCTCTCTTATTTGGGCGACCGGAGCGGCAGTCGCCCTCCCCGAGCGTCCCGCTCTTCAGGACAACTTCGGAACGAGCGGATCGCTGCGTGGTTCGGCCACTGACTGGGCGAACTTCGACGTGATTCGGTGGATCCCAAAGCTTTTTTGAGACTGAGAAACCGGGAGCGACACATCCAAAGACCAATGGTAACTTGAAACACCCAGTACCAACCTATAGCAATGGTGATAGTTGGGTGATTTCAAACCTCTATTCACAGCTTGGTGATTCACAAGCATCAAATGTTTGGTCAATCTTGTTGGGATCGCTAAAGGATAGCTTTTACAGCACCCAGTGGAACCACTATAGATCGAGCTAATCCGTTCCAGGTTCCGACCTCCCCAAACCCCAGTTCCTTAACGGTTGCCTAGAACACCACCTCACCATGTCACCATGTCCTTCACCGAGTCACGAACGTCACCATGGCAAGCAGCGACTTGAACGAAGGACGCAACGTGCACGTACCCAGCAACGATAAAACATGACACAGAGCTGCTGCTCATATTCGCCAGAATGAATCTTCAGCCACAAGCAGGGCAAGCAGGGCGGGCTTTCCAAACTGAATCCCACACTTCATGGGACTGCCCCAGGTAAATATATGTAAATATGTAATACATGGAGTGCTTGGGAATACTTCTTGTTTGAGTCCCACAGTTGCTTTGAACACTGTCACGTCACGTCGTCTCAACTGTTCTGCTGTCTCACATCCCCCGCCATCACTGCAGCGATTCGTTGTACAGTGGCACAGCAAGCCTGACGGGGATCAACTGCCAGTCATTCTCTTGCAATAAGGCATACAACTAAAACTGCCCACAAATGCCCACAGCTTTGCCCCTCTTTTGGGCATTTGGGCATTTTTTTTCTCACCCAACAATTCGTCCAACAAAAAAGGAACTGGCCAGACCATGTGGATGCTCCTCTGAGTTAGGTGCTTTTTTTTGCCATCATCTGCGTGAGAACATGTGCCTTAAATCCATATGACAAGGGCGATGAGTCTTAAAAATTCCTAGCATTCCGAACGATTGAACTCATGTAAAAACCGCCCTCAGCACGAGACGCCACGCCCGGTGCGGTAACCGGAACGTCGTTCCCATGGGTTTCTTCATGGATTCTCCATCAACAACCAGCTGCAACGTACCCTGGCCGCCCTGGTCAGACCCTGACAGAAGTGGTTGGACCTTGCAATGTAGTCTGAAAAAATATCTATAAACAATATCAAACTCCTTATGACAAAAACAACTATATATTATATATGGTTCTGGTTCTTCAGCAAAGGCTGTTAAAGCTATGGCCAGGAAGCTCTGTCCGGGGTGTCTTCCTGAGTCTCAAACCGCAGGAGGTCTAAAAGAGGTCGCAAGTTCAAGCCTCATCATAAAACAGGTGAAACATCAAACATCATGTAGACTGATTAGGAGTCGCCCCTGTGCGCCAGGTAAGAGGTTTTGATAGGTTTTGCCATCCATGTCTTCATTTAGGTAGAGTCTTAGCTGATGTCCACCGTTTAGAGGCTGGCACCGGTATTCCAAGGACCAAACTTCATGGCCCAGACATCTCCTCCACCTCCATCTCATCCTGGATGCCAGCGAAAGAAACAAGGCCTTCCGTAGGGGGGGTTTGGGTATATTTCATTCCCAGGGCCTCAACAAGATGTCTTGAATTGGAGCTCTGAACATGGCGGCTTCTTCGCAAGATGTCTTGATTCCCCCGTTCTGTCCAAGTCAACATGTCGACATACTTCCTTTTCTCCTTGGTTGATGTCCGGATCGAACTTGATCACGGTCTCGATGGGGCGTTCAATGGCCCTCAATGAAAGTACTGTCACAGCAACGGCATAGCCCCTTCTTTGACACCGAATCCTCTGAAGCCCCGCCAGGTCAAATGGGGAGCGGTTTTGGGGTGTGCATGGATTCCGGTCCACACCAATGGCACGAGACCGCCAAGGCCCATCGCCCCACGGGTGGTTCCAACGTCGTTCCATTCCGGCGCCGCTCCTCGATGGTTCTGCACCTGGCCCCAGACGCGTCGCGACCTGTGTCGGCGACGGCGTGTGGTCGGGGTCTGGGTAAACGTGGGATGTCTGAGTTGCATATTGAATATTCCTGAATCAAGTCTCAAGTCTTGAGTCTTACATGGTCTTAAGGAAGTTCTTCTTCACCTTGAGAGATCTTGGAAGTCTCCACATGTATAGCTGTATAGATTGAAGCATCCGGGATCGTCTGTCAGACGGTATCTCGCCTCCTCCATCAAAACGTGGAGGATAACCATTACCCAAACACTTTATGGGCGTATTTACATATATATTATGTTACCGGGGCTTCAAGGTATTTCAGGGGACGCAACACAAATGTACGACCCCCCCATTGACTGTGTCTGTTTTTTTTTTTTTTTTTTCCCAGGTATATACTATAATTCTAAACACAAAGAAACGGATGAACCAGAAAGTGAACCAGACCTGCTTGATCCTCAGCATTTCTCACCTGGATGTCATGCCGTAAGATATCATAAGATGACAGGTCATAATGTGTCTTGCTGATCTACACCAAGGATTCAAAGGACCAGAATTCATGATCGCCTCCCAGATATTTCAAAAACCTGTAGAATCCGCGGTCTTCTTTTTCGGGCACCCATGTGACCCTGCAGTTCTTCCCACCTATGTATAGTGGGGAGGGGGACGACAGCAGAAAGGCCTCGCTTCGCCCCGCTTCGCCCGAACTCAAGCCGCGGGGCCGCAAGTAGTTCTGCAGCTCACACGCCTCTTCCAAGGCCTCGAAACCAGTTCTGGACCCAGTTCGGGGCCGTCGTTTCGCCCGTTGATCCCCAAAACTGGGAGTTGCGTCTTTGAATCCCAGTATCACTGCCCAATACAAATGGAGCCTCTACCACCGGCCAACCAGATCTGTTGAAGATGAATGGTGGCTTTGGAATGCTTTGGGGGGATCAAAAACTACCTGACCTGAGGTGGTTCTTGAGCCCGGTGGGGTCACCGTGTGGCAAACCTGTGTCTTCCATGACCACTTAGAGGAATGCTTTGCCGGAGCCAGAACAACTGGGTCGTCGAGAATGAGGACAACACCCTCCCCAATCAAACAAATCACGAGAACATGTGGCTCAAACCTGCATGATGCTTTGCGTCGTCGAACGTTGAATAAACAATGGAACATACTTCATGCAACGCGTCCACCTGGTTTATGTTGTTTTAAACCACTGGACCTAATTGTAGACCCTTGATTAATGAATAAAACCTCCTCCAGGTTGTATAATCCAAATGGAGGGATTTATTATGATTTATTATTCAGGAGTCTATACTGTTTATTGACAGTTGCTTGGCTTTACAGCAGTGAGCATGGTGTGAAAGTTCTTCCAGCTGAAAAAGAACGTCTGGCTTTTGTAGCACGGCCCCACATGGAGGGTCTGGCATAACCAGGACCCTCCGAGAGCAGTGTTGGGACCCGACCACAGGTGGTTTCTGGACGCGGGATCTTGGAAACACAGGAAACCACCGATCGTGTGTCCTGGTTGTGGGGGCACCACCCTTCAGCGACCATCCATGGTTCTGGAAGAGTTAGGACCACCAACATGTATGGGTCAGGATGGGGGGTAAAGGATGGTAGATGTCTGAAATTCTGAAGATTCCACTCCGATGGTCTGGGCCGATACCAAACTCCGGATCCGTTCCGAACGCAAAACGCCGCGCGGACGAGGTCCCCGTTGACCGCGCGGACGAGCGCGCGGTCAGGTGGACGGCAGAGGGGGGGGCCTCGATGGAGTTGTAGTGCCGCCCGAGCTCGCTGTGGCTGAAGGTACGATGGACCATGCTATGGCAGGTCCTTTTCATCTTCGCCGGTTGAACCATGAGGAACCACGGACCGGAGAGAGGGAAGGGGACACCCAACCATTTCGACACCAAAAACGTGACCCGTCGTGAAATGCTGACCATGTCGAGCGTCCGTCCCAGAGAAGTTGAGCGTCCCAAGATGTTCCAGGCGGTCTGGGCGACATGTCCAAACATGCGCAGAGGTCGCAGAGCTGTTTTGCTTTCAACTTATGGAAGTGCAGAAACTTGCAAGGTTCAGTTCAGCCCGGGAAGGCTCAATTAATATACCCTGGACTGCCAGAATCCCCCTATCCCCAGGAAAGTTGAGCCATTGGTGAGCACGAGACTTCATCTGCTACATATGGCCCCCCTGCAATTGGTGAATTTTCCTGTACAAATTGATAACGAATGCAAGGTAATGCTAACTTTTGATTAGTAAACCTCCCTTGTGGAGATGCAAACAAAATTCTGGTAGGTCTTTTCATTGCATTTCTTGAAATCAACCGTCACCATGCATGTAACACCGAGCGCGGGCACGCTGAACGAATCTTCGACGGACTCCACTCCTGCACAGGATTGCCCTTGGCGGCCTGGGACGCGGAGAAGATTTCCAGGAAGGACCCCCTAGGCTTCGGACGGGGTTCAGTTGAGCCCCACACCATTATCCCGGCAAGAGACCCCAAACAGTGTGTGTGAGGTCTGTAAGCAGAAAGTCTAGCGTGGAGGCAGCCAGTGGTAAAGTCATTGACAAGCGATGTGGAGACCACACACTATATACTCCAGAGGTATAGATGGGGCGAGACGAAGCCTGGGAGAACGCAGTCCACAACGACTTACGTACCCAGTCATTGCTTTCCATGCATCGGAGGCACCCCATAGCCGGGCGAACGCAGCTCCGCTGCGACTTTGTTATATTTGGTGTTGGGCGTAGCCAACGCGATCTGTTCAGCAACACGTTTCTTGGCGTTGTCTCCTGGACTACTAGCCTGCCACGCTTTCCGCTGCCTCCAGAAATCAATGTCCTGCTTGGTGATTGCTACAGAGAAGAGGGCTTGCCAGCGAACGATTTGTCTCCCTTGTACTTGCGGCTGTGCCACAACGCGAAGCAAAGAATCGGATTGCATACGCGCACCTTGCCACATATCTTGCATGTTCAGAACCCAACAAAGTGCAGACGTTGTCCCGCTTTGCACATCTCCAACATCTTCACAAATAAAACAAATGCGAACCCCCTGTTCCGTCTCTTTACTATCTTGGGTTGGGACTCCACGTAACTGGACCACAAACTCCGCGAACTCTATCTCGCGGTCGTCTTGTCCCGAGACCTGTCGTGCTACGTCGACTTTCACATCCCGCAAAGTGATGGCAGGTATGCCAGGTCGACTGGGGCCACTTTGCAAAGAAAACAAAGGTTTGCTGGTACCCGTAAAGGTATGCTTTTGTTCCTGCAAGGAAATCAGCTGCAACAGATTTCGAGCCGGGCGGTTCTGGTAAGCAGGTTCTTCGGAGATAATGCAACGGGCCACCCAACACTTGCTTCGAAGCGTTGTAACAAATCGGGTCGCTGTGTCCACGTCCAGGATGGGTTCTTGCCAGGCAGTCGCTTTGAAGACTTGATCCATCACGTCCGACCATATTTTGATCTCCACCACTGCTGTGTGATCGGCGACATGCACCAGTGCGTTATAACACGTTCTTTTCACAGCCCCATGTCCGCAGGTCGCTACAGCTATTGAAACTAGAGAGCTGTTGAAGCTAAAGCTAACTGGAGCTAAACGTTAACTATGATGTGATAGCTTGTCTTAACGGACACTAATCGAAGTGAGCACTTTTAAGTAAGCAAATTAGCTAAAACTTGTCAACCTCTCAAGAGAGCCGGGTGACCGGGAGTGATGACTCAGCTGCAGCGGTGCCAGAGCAGCCGCGAGAGATGACTCAGCCGCGAGAGATGACTCATCCGCGTACTAAAGTTGTACTCCAAAGTCGCCAGTTCTCGTCTTCCAGCTCCCCAGATACTCCGCGTACTAAAGTTGTACTACCAAGTCGCCAGTTCTCAGCTACCAGCTCCCCAAGTACTCCGCGCACGAAAGTTGTACTACTAAGTCGCCAGTTCTCAGCTTCCAGCTCTCAAGGTTCCTCTGCGTACTATAGTTGTACTATAAAGTCGCCAGTTCTCAGCCTCCGCCTCGCCAGATTACTCCGCGTACGTACTACAAAGTGCCAGTTCTCAGCCTCCAGCTCCCCAGCCTACTCCGCGTACTAAAGTTGTACTACAAAGTCACCAGTCATGGAAGTTCACAAAGTGCTGTGCCTGCCACGAAATCTACACCTCGAGGTTCACAAAGTGCTGTGCCTGCCACGAACTCTGCACATGGAGGTTAAGTGCTGTGCCTGCCACGAAATCTGCACCTCGAGGTTCACAAAGTGCTGCACCTAGCACGAACTCTGCACATGGAGGTTCACAAAGTGCTGTGCCTGCCACGAAATCTGCACATGGAGGTTCACAAAGTGCTGCGCCTGCCACGAAATCTGCACATGGAGGTTCACAAAGTGCT